AGGTGGGTGTCGGTGTGGCCGGTGGTGCGGGTGAGCTTCAGCCTCGCCCGTCGGTGCCCTGCCTTCATCGCCGTCGCCCGCTGGCCTCCTCCTCCTCCTCCTCCTCCTTGGGGCTTGGCCCCAGGATTTGGTCCCGGCGCCGTGCGTCACTGGTGATGGGCGGTGCAGGGCTTGAGCTCTGGCGGACTGTGCCCCAGGGCTGGGCTTGGCAACGGGGAATCAGCCTGTGTCCCATCCCGGTGGGGAAACTGAGGCATTGAGCCGCAGCTCGGGGATGGGTCTTGGGGGGGTAAGATCCCGCTGAACCCCAATATCAGACAGCAGAGAAGCCACCACTGTGTCCTTTCTGTGGCCAACTTCTGACCTTCCAACTTTCAGCAGTGGGGAAACTGAGGCACGGCTCTGGGATGGCTCTTTGAGGGGCGTGACCCAGACCAACCCCAGTATCAGACAGCAGAGAAGCCACCACCATGGCCTCCTCCTACCCTTTCCCAGTGGGGAAACGGAGGCACAGCTCTGGGATGGGTCTTGGGGGGGTAAGATACCGCTGAACCCCAATATCAGACAGCAGAGAAGCCACCACTGTGTCCTTTCTGTGGCCAACTTCTGACTTTCCAACTTTCAGCAGTGGGGAAACTGAGGCACGGCTCTGGGATGGCTCTTTGAGGGGCGTGACCCAGACCAACCCCAGTATCAGACAGCAGAGAAGCCACCACCATGGCCTCCTCCTACCCTTTCCCAGTGGGGAAACGGAGGCACAGCTCTGGGATGGGTCTTGGGGGGGTAAGATACCGCTGACATCTCTTGGGGGGGGTCAGATCCTGCTGACCCCCAATATCAGACAATGGAGAAGCCACCACCGTGTCCTCCCCTTGTTCACCTCCTGCCTTCCCACCCTTCAGCAGTGGGGAAACTGAGGCACAGTGCTGTGATGGCTCTTTGAGGGGTGTGACCCAGCCCAACCCCAGTACCAGACAGCAGAGAAGCCACCACCACAGTTGCCACCTCCCACCATTTCTCAGTGGGGAAACTGAGGCACGGCTGTT